ACATCACGGGGCAACATGGTTATGGGTTCCCATTTTCAAATTCATTATTGAAATATTAGTAGGCATGCTTTGCAGTTTTAAAAGGGACAATTGTCTTTGTAGGTTGGGACATATTTATGGCCACATGTTTTAGTTTCATTTTTTTTCTTTGGAATGGATACTGACATTATGCATGTTGGGTTCAGTAGTACCTTTGTTTATTGTTCAGTTCTTGTCTTGAGCAACTTTTCTGATTTTGAAATGGGTTACCTTTCATTGCATGTTAGGGGATCAGTAATTCACCATTTTCTTAGATAAGTATTGTTATAAAATTGATGTATGCTATGCTCTTCTGAAGCAGTTTAGTGATCCAAGTTATAGCTATTCGTCTTTGTTGCATTCTTCTAATGGTTTAGAATTACAGGTCTCCTCCTAAACCCATAAAGGGGCCTGATGGAAGAAATTTGCAACTGCACTTTCGATCCAGGTTGTCCCTCCCTCTCTTTACTGGAGGGAAAGTGGAAGGCGAGCAGGGTGCTGCAATCCATGTTGTATTGATTGATGCAAACACTGGTCACATTGTCACATCTGGTCCAGAGTCCTCAGTGAAGCTGGATGTTGTTGTGCTTGAAGGTGATTTTAATAATGAAGATAATGATAACTGGACTCAAGATGAATTTGACAGCCATATAGTCAAAGAGCGTGATGGAAAGAGACCACTTCTAACTGGAGATCTGCAAGTGACACTGAAGGATGGTGTTGGGATGCTGGGGGAGCTAACATTCACTGACAACTCTAGCTGGATAAGAAGCAGGAAATTTAGGCTAGGGTTGACGGTTGCCTCAGGTTCTTGTGAAGGCATTCGAATCCGTGAAGCAAAGACAGATGCATTCACCGTGAAGGATCACCGAGGAGAATGTGAGTTCTTAATTTGTTCAAAAAATTCTGCACATTCTTTTTTTCCCCTTGTTGAGGCTGGTAGTGCATTTTTTTTTTAAAATTTATTTATTTATGCCCCTTCTCCTCAGTATACAAGAAACACTATCCCCCTGCATTGAGTGACGAGGTATGGAGATTGGAGAAAATTGGAAAAGATGGTTCGTTTCACAAGAGGCTAAATAGAGCTGGAATATATACTGTTGAAGACTTCCTGCAACTAGTAGTTAGAGACTCACAGAGGCTGAGAAATGTAAGAATTGAATGTATCATGGTTGAATAATTAGTTCTATTCCTTACTTTGTTTATCACTAATTTTCTTGCTTATTTACTCACAGAGGCTAAGAAATGTAAGAATTGAATGTATCATGATTGAATAATTAGTTCTATTTCTTACTTTCTTTATCACAAATTTTCTTGCTCATTTTCTCTAGATTCTTGGAAGTGGCATGTCAAATAAGATGTGGGATGTCTTGGTTGAGCATGCAAAGACTTGCATTCTGAACGGGAAGCTTTATATTTATTACCCTGATGACGTGCGGACTGTTGGTGTAGTCTTTAACAATATTTATGAATTGAGTGGCCTAATAGCTAATGGACAGTATTATTCAGCTGATTCTCTATCTGAAGATCAAAAGGTAGATAACTATGTCTTTCTTTGTAATCCCTATTTCCTAATGATCATGCTTTTCATCCGTTGGAGTTAGTTGATATTCCAATATTTAAATCTGGTTAGATTTCTATGTTTAGGGTGTGAGCAATTGCATCTACTGATTGCCATTTTTTTTCATACATAATACTTTTTCATATTGAGGTATCTACCTGGGAAAGAGGTGTAGGTGGTCCATAGCAGCTGTTACAAAGAGTGTTTGTTTCCTTCGATCTGACCAAGGATGTAGTCTGAGAATTTTTTATTTCTTTCTTGCAGGTCTGTGTTGATGCGTTGGTGAAAAAGGCATATGACAATTGGATGCATGTGATCGAGTATGATGGCAAGTCTCTGTTAAGCTTTAGCCAGAGTGACAGTGCAGGTGCTTCTGGGACCAATGCTCCATTGGGTCCACAAGATCATCACCATCATCCTAACTCAATTAACCAGGAACACACTCTATCAAGCCTATCAGTTCCTGTTCCTCCAGAGCAGACTCTCATGGATTCTGGTCTAAATGTTGGAGGTATATATTTTTTCCTACAGGATTATTTAGAACTTATTAATGATAAATAAAGTAGCTGGCTGTTGCATTTTTTCAATATCATGTAAAATAAAAGTTCTCCAACAAACAAATTCTCATATTTGACCCAGGAGAAAAAAAATTTCTAATATTTAATGTGAGATGGGAATCTTGATCGCTCTCTCCCTCTCCATTTTATCCCACAAAAGGAAAAAGGATGCCATCACCTTAATGTCCATTTTAATGATTTTGTATCATTTTTTCCAGCACTATGTTTAGACATCTTTACATGTTTGGTTGTTAACTTTTTCTCTCTTTCTAGGTTATAGTGATGATATGGCTGCCAGACTATTGATGCAATCACAGAATGCAAATCTTAATGCTCCTACCGAGTTTAATGGCTCTTCATTGCCTCTACAAAATCCATTGATTAATGTTTCGCAGCAGGTCCAGTTTCCAGGAGATGAGAATGAGCTGGCCCTTCGTCCGCCACAATTATCCATGTTGGGCACTCATGATATAGGCACATCGAGTTCTCCTAGTTATAAAGGACTTGAGCATTTCTTCTCAGAGGAAGAAATTAAAATGAGAAATCATGATATGCTCGAAGGTGAAGATATGCAGCATTTGCTTCGTATCTTTAACATGGGAAACCAGGGAATTGACCCCTTCAATATTACTGGCGAAGGTTACCCTTATTCTTCTGGATACTTGCCCAACCCATCTCCAAACTACGGCTTTGATAATGAAGCCACTCGTTCGCCAGGCAAAGCTGTTGTGGGGTGGCTTAAGCTCAAGGCTGCCCTTAGATGGGGCATATTCATCAGAAAGAGGGCTGCTGAGCAGAGGGCTCATCTTGTTGAGTTAGAAGATTCATAGATTTAGTGTCAGAGACAATCTAAGCTGTCTGACCTCTGATGTTCCATGGATCCAAATTCTGGCATTTGGCTACCTCTCCTGTTGTACAGTAAGCTTTGCATCTTATCTCCTGCAAGTTACTATCATAACCAGTAGGGTTGGAGGAGTTTTATCTGAAAAATGTTTGTGGATATCAACTTCAACAATTTTCAGGGATAACTTTTCCTGGACTAGAAGGCTCAACATCTTATCATCAACGGTTCACTTTCTGGAATTAGGTCTGAGTTTAGTTGCAATATGTTGGCAGAGATCCAACAAAATAAAGTGTTTATTTACTTCGTCTTGTAAGTTGTAACTCGAACAATAATCCGTACCAGTATCAATAACATTACCGCAGCAAAAATCCCAATGCTGCGTAATAAAACTTTCTGTTGTTAGTGGTCCGTAGCCTATTACTTGTCATTTTCATTCTGTTTTCATTTTGCCGCCTGATTTTGGTGTTTTGTGGTTGCTAATGGTTTCCAGTCCGTTACTGCAAAAGCATCATCCAAGAGGACCACGAGGAGACCCACTACATTAATCGACATGTTCTTTTCTGCATCATTGTCTGTCTATTTCACGGACAAAATAGAAATAATTTTCTCTTCTAACATGTAAATGTTGGGTTGCACAGTGTGGATAGTGAAATTATGAGAGAAGGACAAAAATATGGATAAAAAACTTCCCTCGTTTTGCAACGTAGTCATCTGCAATCACCATTTGTTTTTTTTTTTTTTGGTTCGGAAATCCATTTTTCTGCGTTGTAATCTGCACTTTTACTACAGTGGGAGATGTGAAGGGGATAACGACTTCTGTGGTACCATTAGTCAAACAGTTTTTATGGGCTAAACGACATATCAATATTAATGTCAGTTTTGGTTTTCATTATTACTTTCAGGATTTTGACTGGAACGCTTAAAAGGCTTTGGCAGCTTGCTAATTATGATGGTTAAATTATTGAAAGCAAATTAAACTGGAAGGCCTGCTGGCTATTAACATTAACACAACGTAGAATTAGTAAAACAGGCACTTTTTCTTATTATTGCTATAAATTTACGTAAAAGAAAGTGCAAATTATACTTTATTTAATTATTAATAGAGAGAATAAACCCTGCCTCCATTAATGGTTAATTGTTTTACAATCCAACTTCTACCTTAGAAACTTTGTCTTCCTCTTCATACAGGATGTACTCCAACGCAAGCTTTCTTGCAGCGAAAACACAAGCTACGCCTCTGGATGCTGTTGCATTAAATTTCAAAATAAACATTAATGCATTTTCAAAAATGTTCATTTAATTAAAGATTCAATAACATGGAGAATCTTAAGCCTATTGGTGTAATTATAGCTTTTCTAGGAGTTTTATTGGAGTAGATTTTTTTTAGAAATGCTGAATCATGAATTCTTATAGAATAATAAAAATTTAGAAGCTTAATAGATAGAGATCTACTCCAGAAACAAATTTGGGGTTTCAGCTTCTAGACCTTTAGAAGCTAAAAAAAATATTTAGAAAAATCAAAAGATCTTTTAAAAAATTGCATTTGGCCTAGCTTCACCTTGTTCAACATAGCAGATATTTTTTTAAGTTTGGCTAAATAGACACTTTACCTACTAGGAAATAGATATAATTGATATACCTATGTTTTTAAAAATTGCATTTGGCCTAGCTTCACCTTGTTCAACATAGAAGATCTTTTTTAAAGTTTGGCTAAATAGACACTTTACCTACTAGGAAAGAGATATAATTGATATACCTATGTTTGCCATCCTGATAAGATCAAATAGCCAGAGTCATCCTACAACAAAAGAAAAGGCATCACTGTGCAGAAGAATAAGCATCTAAGAAGTTGGAAAACAGATTGCATCAGTGTCACCAATACAATATATCAAATATAAGGCACTGGCACTTAACTATAAGACTAATTATCACTACATGACATTGTAAAGGAAGAATCAAAAGGCCAGGGTAAGGATGGAGTAGGATAAAGAGTGGCAGAGAACAATACCTTGTAGTATGATACTGACGAAGGAATGGTGATGAATAATGGTGCTCGTGAAGATAAGAGTGAAACCAGTGATAGAACATCCTTGTGAAGTATCTTCCGTGAAATAGTAGTAAAGTGCATCAGGAAGGCCTTCTTGAAACTAAAATTACAGACCCACTAATAAGGTGCTTATAACTTGAAGGAAAGCAGAAAAGTAATACTAGTGCAATTGAGATGACTAAATTGCATAATCTAGAAATAGGACTTTTAATTTCTCATGTGCTTTCTTAATATTAATGCAATCAGGGGGAGGAATTGAAGATCTGGACAGGTGAAATTTAAAGGGAAAAAGAAAAACTTAGTGAACATCCAGTCACAAATCAAAGCAAATTATCTTCAAAAAATTTAACCATTTGTTTATCCAAGGATAGGTTGTTTAGTGGATCAACTAATTCATATTATTATTGTTCTGACTTCTGAGAATTGAAAAAGGCAAGATCCTATTTTAACTTAAAATGAGATCTCTAGGAACATAATTGACTCATCAGTGAACAAGACAAATGTAAATGAAAAGGATAGCATACCTAGATTCCATCTGTAGAAATTCCTTGGCCAGTGTGTGCTGGAGATATTCACAATCTGAAAATCCACCAAAACAAACTAATGCTCTAATCCTTTGTATTGTATCCCTGAAGGATTTACAAAAATCAGTTTGTTTGGAGAATAGATAATGGCATTACAGATACATGTATAACTATCAATTATGCCTACCGACATGCATAACCTAACCTAGGAGATGCATGCACACTGGTGCACCCTCATATATGATATGTGCAAAGAAAAATAAATAGTTACTACCTTATTCCTGGAGATTTAATACCAAATAATATGCACCCTATTAAGTATTGACCTAGATGTAACTCTTTAGATTTTTACATTTTATAAAGCCTCTTCCTTAGAACTGTCTCTTTATAAGGACTAGCTTATGGCAGCATTTATTTTATTTTATTTTTTGTTCACACATTTTATTAACCATCTCCATTAGAAATGTTTCTATACAAGGACTGGCATTTTGTCTCTTATATATAAAAAGTTGGTTGCCAGTCAAACTCTAATCTGAGGCCCCTTTGAGAAATTCTAATCTACAGTCCTGATGTGGTTGCAATAGCTATCTCAAATGTCAAAAGATGTATGTATGTATGTGCTGATGTTATCAATAAAGTTAAAGAACTCTATACAAGAACTCATTGCATGACATACAGGATGAAAAGGTTATATACAAAATGGTTGCATATTTAACTTACATATAAATTTCAATTTTGCGATCTACTTCAGACAGCTCAAGCAACACCCTAACGGGATCTTGGTCATATAAAAACTTCAAGAATACAACAAGTTCACTGTCAAAAGTGAAATGTAAGGCCAAAAATGTATGGAAAGCAACTGACACAACCAAAAATTGTCAGACAAACAAATCTATTGTATGATAGAAGTTGATTGCTTGGCTCTTGCATGAATAGCTTTATACATTTTAGTAACCAGTTAAAGAAATTGGAAAACTGGAGGGAAAAGACAAATATTAGAACTCGTCAGCTAAAAATTTCAAGCGCAAAAATTTTCCTCTTCATATGATATATATGTTTAATATTTATAGATTTCAGACTCATGGTTTGAGATTATTGAATTTTCCTCTTTTCTTACCAGAATGGAAGAAGAAAGAAGAAAATGATTTCCATTCTATAATTTCAAATTAGCATACCTGTTGTACAACAGAGGATAGGACCCTCATAAATCTTTCAACTTGTAGTAGTAACAAGCCAGATTTTTTTGTTGCATTATTTATAAGTATCTCATCCAACCCAATCCCTTAACAGAGTTCTCACCATCTTGAAAGTCCCCTCAGTTCTCTCATCCTGAATCCAATAATTTCTGCAGCAGGCTGGGAAATGGATTTTCATCTTTAGTTTGCACCAAAACCCCTCATAGTAAGGAACAGAATGGGAAAATATTACATTAGGCACAATGAAACTTATCCTATAAGAACTTGCGATAAATAAATAAAAAGAGAAACATGTATGCCTTAAACATAAGCTTAACAAGTAGGCTGGGCTAATTATGAAATTTAAAGGCATTCTTGACCATGCTCGGTAATAATCATAATTCTGAGTCTGACTAGACTATACCAGAAATATCAGCAGCCAGATTGCATAAACATGAAGGAGAGCAGCAGCTTGTGAATTACAAATTTCATGTTCTGATGCAATCATTTATGAACCCAAATTATAGATCTTTTGAAAGCCAAAATAATGAAAGATATTCTACAACATAAAGGATCGTGCAACAAGTCATTCCGAAAAAGAAATTTAATACGGCACCTGAAGATGATTGAGGATAATATGCCGAAGTTCTTTTCCAGAACCACAGACAACCTTTGATATGCGCTTCACCCCCTATTGAGTAAGAAATCTATTGTTCAATACAACATTACAATACCAGTTTCCTTTCATGTAAGGAAAATATCATATAATGTAAGTTTATAGCTTCACCAAGAGAGTAAACAAGAAATTGATGAACTGGAGGACTAGCGTGAGCACCACCTAGGAGGCTTAGAAACTCCTCTTGAGGAGATGAATCCAGAGCTACTTGCATATGATAGAAAATAGCGAATAGAGAAACAACGACTTGAAAATTTAAGTACTAAGCTATCATGTAGTACTCTAATTAGCATTTACCATGGTTGACAATTAGAGTAGATAAAGAATCAAACTTCTCATGAAAATTATGCATGGCATCTGACCACTGCTTGCGCATAACTGAGAATGATGCATGTATAACCTGAATTAAGTCCTCAATGTTAGAAGCCTGATGAGCATCCTGATGGAGCTCATATTTCCTGAATGGAAGAGAAAGGTTAAAAGGCAGAGAACCAACCAAGGATGACAAAATAAGGCAGTGGGTAGGATATCCTTTATTGACTCTGATTTATCATACAATGCCCAAATATTATAATAAATAAGCAGCTTGTTTGCTGTAAAACCTAGAGCAAGAAGCACTAGGAATCTGAATCTGAATCTGAATCTGAATGAAATAAAATCCAAACACTAATGAATTTGTAATCCAAGCTTCTCTTGAAAGTTACCTTTTCCAAAATATGTAAGTATCCATTAGGAAGCAATGCAAGCCTCTACCACGTCCACCCATTTGCCTCTCTGTTGATTCAAGATTATCTTCATTAAGTTCTCTAGCGCACATAACTATCAAATGACAAAGGTCTTTTGACCAAGCAACCTAATAGAAAGGGCATAAGAATCAGCTAGCTGGATAAATGGTAGTATTCCCATAAGAACTTGAACAAAAGAGTGCTTTTATGTTTTAAATGGCAGGGAACTTTTAACTGAAATTTTAACTTCAACAGCATAGCTTTTTCGGTCACATGGACTATGATGGAGCCCTTTCAACAAGTTCTCCAACATAAGAAGCATAAAAGATTAAATTCTATGCATAAGTTTTTCAAACATGTTGAGGAAAACTAAGCATAATTCTTTGGTTCACCCTGTGAACAAAGTCCTCTCTTAAAGACTGAAAGAAAATTTAGTTTCATGATTCTTGAAAGTTACAACATGATGACAAGACTTGACAACATTTATAATTGATATTTATCATAACATACTGCAATCATTTTAAATCTATTCACGAGAAGAGGAACCTACCTTTGAAATGGAACCATTTACAAATCTGTAAGAAGCTTGTTCATCCATGAGGGAAGAAGGAATGGACAACTTGTGTATATTCTGGGCTCTGGCACACAAATTTCACCAAAAAATTCAAAGTTATGGAATATAGAGGAAAACAAGAAAGTAAGTTTCTAATGAAATGTAAAAACAGTTATGAGAACATAAATAAACTACATAAAAAACTAAACAAAACCTAGATCAATCAGGATGCAGCTCACATGCCGAGCTTGCATTCTAAAAACATTGCTATTATATTAACTTTTTTAATGTGTCAACTAGATGTTATCCGAGCAGCTGAAATGAGACCTAATGCAGGATTAAACCACAGATCAGTGCCAAAAGAAACACAAAAATATACATTTAGTTGTCAACCCTATTAATCAATATAATGTAGAAAGCTAATTCCAAGATAGATGAATAACTTACAATTTTCCCAATGGGAAAAATTCCAACTATGCTAAAGAAAATGTTTCCATCATTATCTCCACTGCACATAATATTAAACCGTTGATATGAACACTCTGACAGCTTTTGGAATGAATCCTCACTATCATCCATGAAGCCAGTATCTCCAGATACAAGTCCAGGCATCCAAGGAACTCTTGGAGCAGGAGGGAAAAAGTGAGAAGTACAGTTCTCATATGTTGAGATTTCATTAAAATCGTCCTATAAAACATGTTTTTTCTTTATGAGAGGCTCAAAAAGTTCAATCAACCTGATGTATAACTAGGTAAGAATACCAGCCTTGCCAAATATCCAAGCAAAGCTTCAATTATGAGAAATGTTTCCAACTCAGGCATACCCTAATTAGTTGTCCATCCTCCTCCCAGTTTAGAGACACAACAGCAACAGTATGGGACTTTAAACTTTGGAACAATTTCCATTCTGCTAGAAAGATAAAAAATAAAAAGAAAAGAAAAGAAAGGAGCATAGATTAATAAAGACACTTGATAATAGATCTTACTGACATCTACAGATACCTTAAGAGTGCATGTTTCTTTGATCCTTGTAACTCTAATTGTTACAATATTCTAATGCACTCACTTCGACATCATGCAATGAAATAGTTCCATCCTCAAGCCCAACAGCTATTGCTTTACCATCAGGACACCAACATAAAGATGTAATGCACCTTCCTAAGAAAAACGATTCAGTAATTCCATAACAACTTGAATCAGAAAAAGCTAAAACGCAACATCAAATCAGAAAATATATTCCACAAGTTTCACATAGTGTATTATATATAGCAGTCTGAAATCACAAGTCTCAACTGTGACCTTTACATATGTTTAAAAAATAACAACAAACAGCACGCATGATCTCCATTAGAAATTTCAAGCACAATGGAAACCAAACTAAAATAAAAACAAGTCTACGAACTAAAAATAAAATTACCAGGAGAAATCGTCCATAGTCACTGCCGATTGAATCTTAGGTAACCATAGCGAGTAAGTCCTTTTTCCGGATTCCACTCAGAAATTTTAATCTATAAACAGAGACGATTAAACCGGTAGAATCTAGAATTGAGCAAATGAGGAAACTAACAAACACGAAAATGAAGTTAAGTAGCGAAGAGCGAGAACAAACCTGAGAGGCAACTGGTTGGTCGAACTGAAGCTGAAAGGGAAGCACACGAGGAGCTTCATCGGCTTCCGTGGCCAAAACTCCGGCAGCTCTGAGAGTAACAGTGCTCGATCGTAGAGTTGCAGCGCTCGATTGCGGTTATAGGAGTTGAAGCGACGATTAATAAGATTCAAACACTGTAAATGACATTTGTCCTGGAACTGATCAAATGCTAAAGAGGGGACGGATGGCGACGCGGTGGGGAGAGGAGGAAGTAGCAGAAGCGGCAGGTGAATGTGAATAAAAATGAGGAATGAGGGCGGAGGGCGGGATGTCGTCTCCCATTCGTGACAGGATGAGTGCGGGATCTAACGGTTGAAGTTTACGGATAATAGAAAAAAATTCTAAAAAGTCAGTAAATTTTGTAATTTAATTAATAAATTGAAGGATAATGATAAAACTGCACGAAGATTTTGGGAACAATTGACAGAGTAGGTGACTAACTGCATCTCATTTAAAATATTCAAAGTTGGATTTATATTATTTAGTAGTTGATTTTTTTATTTTATTAAAAATATAATATGTATTTATTAATTTATTTAATAATATAATTTATATCCCATCTTATTAATTTTAATTTAAACCCATAATTTTCGTTTTATTTACTATTACTTAAAATTTAAATTGCCTCACTACTTATATATATAATAAAGAAAAGTAAGTTTGAAATTTGGAGAATAATGAATTGACATTAATTATATTACTTAAAATATTAAAAATTATATTATATATATTATTTAGTAATAATTAATTTTTTATCAATTATTCGAGTTGCATGATATCTGAGTAAAATAAGAAATAAAATAGAATTATTTTTTTTATGCAAACTAAAATAATAAAAAAAAAACTCTTTTTTACTTTATTTAGATTCGGATAAAATTTTCTCAACGCACACAGCTGCACTAGGCGTTTGATGTTTAGTCTGTGAGAAACTCTCTTGCTCTTGGAGCTGGTTCTTTTATTTGGATTGCTGTCATGTAAAACGTATTCAGTTTGTTCTGCTTACGATGCCTTGCGTACGTAGGGAAACTGTTCGTTGCCATCAAAATCCTTGGAAGTGCCATATCAAGTATTCTACTGTCACTAAGCCGAGGATCTGTTCCCATCGTGCAATTGATATATATTTAGATAACGAACATGATCTGCTAGAATTGTTATGGTAAACTAATAACTTGTTTATTTGAATAAAAAGAATTTGATTTTTTTTAAATAAAGTTTTAAATTTAAATTTAATAAATGAAAAATAATTATTTTTTTATTTTATGAGATCCAATGTAAATCAATTTTAAATGAATCAAGATACAATGTAATTTTTAAATATGTAAAGAATGTATATAAATATAAAAAAAATTGTTATGGTAAAATAAGTGAATGGTTTTGCAGAGATGAACCGTGAATGTCTAAACGTGTGTGGGGCTCTATATGGCACATATTCGCTTCTCCATGTTTCAGCAAAGCAAAGCACAAATTCGCTTTTCATATCTCAAAAAAAATATATCGAGAATCTAAGTTAAGTTTCCGACACTTGTTCCCAAAAAAAAAAAAAAAAAAGCACAAATTCGCTTCTCCATATTTCAGCCCGCTCCGTTATAAGGAGGAGGCCGGCGGACACTTACTCGATGCAAGCGTACCTCTGAGAACCTGAGTTTCGATGGCCATCTCTCCGAGGAAGTTAGTATCCAGCGTAATCTTCGATTTGAACGGCACACTTCTTAACACAGGTCGGCTTTTCTTCCTTATCTACACGGAAGTTCTTTTGATTTTCCACCTGTTTCTTAAAGTTGTGGTTTATTTTCATTTTCATAGCAGAAGGTGCTGTTAGTGATGTGTTGAAGGTTTTCTTGGGTAAGTATGGGAAAGAATGGGACAGAAGAGAAGCTCAAAAAATTGTAGGGAAGACACCTTTGGAAGCGGCAGCTGTTATTGTTGAAGATTACGTGCTTCCTTGTGGAAAGGACGAGTTTTTGTCTGAATTCAGCCCAGCATTCTCTGCTCGGTAAATAAATTAGCGTTGAAACTGAAGTAAATTGATACATTATTACGAATTTGTTGAATGCAAATGTCTGAACCCCTTGCAAATAGAAAACATCGTACCTCTGTATATTGTTGATCTTAGATGTTGAATTCATTATGTCTTGCCAAAGTTATATGAAATCTTGCTTTTGATTGCTGGTATGTAGGATTGGCAACATTAAACCGCTTCCAGGTGCCAATCGATTGCTTAAACATTTGAGTGGTCATGGTGTGCCCATGGCTTTGGCATCAAACACCTCTAAGGCAAGCATAGAGAGCAAACTTTCATATCACAAAGGTAAGGTTTCTTAGGAACTTTTGGACTCTCTAATTTTCTATTTCAGGTATTTTCTCGTAGTTGACTCATTTTAGGTTGGAAGGAATATTTCTCTGTCATCATTGGTGGTGATGAAGTGACCACAGGGAAGCCATCTCCTGAAATGTGAGCCTTGTAATCATAACATCCATGGAAATGGAATATAATTTCTCTAAATATGAAAATCCTAATTCTAGTTTTATCAGTTTTTGGTCTTCTCAAATTCTAGTATTCTCTTTTCTTGTCCTATTTAAGATTTCTGCAAGCAGCTAAAATGCTGAATATGGAACCTTCCAGTTGCCTGGTCATTGAAGATTCTGTGTAAGCCAGTTCAACTTTCATTACTTATGCAATCTACTCTGACTTTCATCGTATGTATATAATCATAACCTATTATCCTTTCCGTCAATGCCTTAGTAATTACTAACTATTTTATTGCAATGATTACCTAAAACTTCAATTTAAGGTTGTTATTAGGATCGTTTTATACAGACTATATACTTTGTTTCAATACACAGTGTGTATGGAGCATAGTTTGTCTTTTGGACTAATGCTTTGGCCATATCAGGACTGGTGTTAAGGCTGGTAAGGCTGCTGGAATGGAGGTGGTAGCTGTGCCATCTGTTCCAAAACAAACTCATCTTTTTACAGCAGCAGATGAAGTTATCAACTCCTTACTTGATTTGCAGCCCGGAAAGTGGGGCCTACCTCCATTTCAGGATTGTAAACCTTGGAAACCTGTCTCATGCTTTAATCCTGCTTCACAGATTTGTCCTTAAAAATTATCTTTGTCAGAAATATTGTTTTTGGGTGCAGGGATAGAGGGTACATTACCAATGGAACCTTGGTACATAGGGGGCCATGTCATTAAGGGATTTGGTCGTGGCTCAAAACTACTTGGCATCCCTACAGGTTAATTTGTCATTAATATTGGCTTTTGAATGTATCTGCAACAATGCCATAATACAAAATCTGTGCGAACCTTGATGATTTTGGCTTAATAAGACTGGAATTTTTTTGCTACATTTCGTATCAATTTTCTTTTTCTCATAAACCTGGCTCCATAATTTTGTTCTCAATTTTACTAGTGATTTAAGTGATTTAACGGTAATCTCTTTTTTATAAAAATAAGAAGTTTGAATTCACATAATATACAGGTGAGATAAATTAAGAAACAAAAAAAAAAAATATATGTTATTATGTAACCTAAAATAAAAAAAAAATCATTAAATCAATTTTATTAACAAGTTCTCACTATCTATTTGCAGCTAATCTATCTACGCAAGGTCATTCAAGCGTCCTTTCAGAACATCCTTCAGGGGTATATTTTGGTTGGGCTGGATTATCAAGACGTGGTGTTTACAAAATGGTCATGAGTATTGGTTGGAACCCATTTTTCAACAATGCAGAAAAGACGATAGTGAGTGTAACACTGATTTAGATGGTAGTTGTGCAAGACTTATTTCTACCCTAAATTCAATCTATGTTGCAGGAGCCATGGTTGCTTCATGAATTTAATGAGAATTTCTATGGTGAGGAATTGCGTCTTGTCATAGTTGGCTACATACGACCTGAGGTAGTAATGGACATTTGTCCCCATATTTTCTTTTTTCCTACACCACATAAAAGCACTTTTTCTATTCGTATAACAGGCTAAGTTCCCGACTCTTGAGAGCTTGATAGCAAAGATTCACGAAGACAGAAGAATCGCAGAGAAAGCGCTTGATCTTCCATTATATTCTAAATACCAAGATGATCCATACTTAAAACCGCGCTTCTCCTTTTCATCCCTTCTCTCCCGTGCTGCGCGATTTCTTGTTTGCTGGTTCCACGCCCTAGTTCAAGGTTGCAGAAGGCTTGGTTTTTGGATGACGGTGATGCTGGAGTCTGGGCGAAGGTATAAACGACGGTGAACTCGACATGCGAATTGAAGTCAGTGAGCTTCCGAAGATCTCTACTTTGTGGCAACCCTTGGTTCCCTGTTTGACTGGTCGGTCCGGTTGAACTGCCATTCTGACCAGATATGTACTTGTAAA